TTTTTTGTATAAGCAGGTCTTCAGGCTTTGAAGAGCTGGGCTATTTTTGCTGAACTGTAGTTCCTCCAAGGTTGTCGTTGCTTGCATTTTGGGAGGGCAGCTGGTGGCCTTGCAGGAAGGCGCGCAGGTTGCGTTGGAGGAGGGCCCTGGGTCGGTTGGTTTGACTTCTCTCCAGCGTAGGTTAGTTTTTCTCCGGTGTCTCTGATGCCAGAACAAGGCCCCAGAATGAACGGTTTCTCTCTGGGCGAGCTCTGCTGGCTGTTCTGCTGCCCGCCTTGCCCCAGCCGCATCGCTGCCAAGCTGGCCTTCCTGCCCCCGGAGCCCACCTACACCGTGCTGCAGCCCGAGCAGCAGCAGGAGGCCGGGGCGGCGGCCGGGGCAGGGACCCCGACGGGATCAGGCACCTGCAGTCTGCACCTGAGCGAGCGGGCGGACTGGCAGTATTCGCAGCGGGAACTGGATGCCGTGGAAGTGTTCTTCTCCCGCACGGCTCGAGATAACAGGCTGGGCTGCATGTTCGTACGTTGTGCCCCCACTGGCCGGTACACGCTGCTCTTCTCACATGGTAATGCTGTGGACCTGGGCCAGATGTGCAGCTTCTATATTGGCCTTGGCTCCCGCATCAACTGCAACGTCTTCTCTTATGACTACTCTGGCTACGGGGTGAGCACCGGCAAGCCCTCTGAGAAAAACCTGTACGCAGACATTGATGCAGCCTGGCAGGCGCTCAGGACAAGGTAAATGGATATTGGGGACAAGGTATTTCTGTATCTCCGTTTAATCCTGATAAGTCCAGTGTCTGCACAATTAACCTGCTGAGAGGTGGAGGGGAAGGGTTTGTAGATGGTTTGAGTTATTTCGATGGCCTCACCACATGTTCCATCAACAGCTACAACGCGCTTTGCTGGATGGCTTCCTTTGTTAAAAGGATGCGCAAGCCTTCATCCTTGGGCTTTTTCTAGATTTAGGGGTTCAGTCAGCTGTACCATTACAAATCTCCATCTTGAGCAGGACATATTGCACTGGTTGCAGTTTGAGCTTTCATGATGGAAAACAAAAAACCAACCTTTTGTTTGAGACTTGCCTGCCACTTCTACGCTTAGAGGTAACCCAGTTGAGTCAAAACTTTGAATTTGGCGGTAGCCTAGGCTAGTGCTTGCCAAGAAACTGCTGCTGTTCTGTGATGCGCCTGGGGTTTCATGCAAGCTCGTGCGACATAGACGTCTTTCTCTTTTGGCAACCAAACAACTGTTATCAAATTGGGTAGGGTAGCGGGGTGGAAGGAAGAAGTGTTGACAGGTGGAAGTAGAGCTGGGGATTCTGCCAGGAGGAGATGCCGAAGTAGGTGGCATCCAAAGGGATGGAGCAGCAATGAGAAGACTCTGGCAAGGCAGCGTGGCCTGTAGGAACAGGGAGCCCTTGGCTTCCAGGAAATCCCGAGCAGAGCTGTCGCCTTTGGCTCCTTGCTACAACTGATTGCCATCCCCAGGCCTCTGTTGCTTCTTCTGTCCACAGCAACAATGAGCTCCTTTTGCTGTTGTGTAAGCGGTTCTTAAAGCAGGACCTCGCGGAGCGTATCGTGAAAGGGAGAGCTTTAAAAAGCTTAAATTGTTGCAGTAGGGCAAGAGAGAAGAACGATGAACGTTTTCTGTTCTTGGCTCTGGGGTTGTGTAGATGAACTTGGCTTACGTGAAATGAGTATTTAATGTCTTAGGGATACGTGCCAACTTCAAAAATAGTGACAGGAGTTGTTACTAATTTAGATAATTGGCTTTTCAAGGATCCAGGGATTGGTCAGTCATCGAGTCCAAAAGGCTTTTGACATTGGTCTGCCCAAGTCAGGTTAAGAGCATGGGGGAGAAAGGTGTAGGGGGAAGTTACCCTTTCGTAGCGTGCGTTCTCTCTGTTTGGTGAATAAACCAGATTCTGGGTTCATTTTCCAGGACTACCCCCCCCCCCCCCAAAAAAAAAAAAAAAATTGCTTGAATATAAATATGGGTTTATGTAAAGAAATAATCTTGATATGCTGTATGCAGAATAAATGCCATTATTGTGCATATGGATGATGTAAATAAGGTTTAAGGGAGGAAAAGTGCTTTGTCTAAGCCAAGCCTAGTTATTGTTTGTCCTTCAGTTGCTGTGGTTTCTCTCTGTTTCACTTAGTGTTTAGTTGATGATATTTTTTCATGAAAACCTTCTAGAGCTCTGAAAAAGCGCTTTCACATCTGCCTGGAAGTGCTCCTGTCTTGACAGGCATGAGTACATCTTTAAGATCTACGTAGATGCAGAAACAAGGGATTCCTTCACTTAAGTCTTTTGAGAAGCCTGACCCAGTAGGTGATGCCAGCATGTGCCCAGCTTGCTCTGAGAGGACTGTGCTCCTTCTGTTGAAGTGTGACTGGAGGAAGTTTATGGTTTTATATTGGAGTCCTTTCTGTAGTTTGTACAAGACCTAGGTTCTGCTTTCCTCCTTAAATTGAGGGGCTGGAATTTGCCAACTCTTAACTTTGCCATGTTTGTAAATCCCACGTCCTAGTGCTACCCTGAAGTACTGTTAGAGTAGTTGTGTTATCATCGGTTAGATTTTTGGGAGCCAAAGGAAATCTTACAGTATTTTAGGTGCCCAGTAAAGAAATCTGTTACTGTAAAATGTAAGCTTAAAAAAAAAAGGTAATCTGTCTATTAACAGATAACTGTCTTCATAACAGGTATGAGCCAAAACGATAGTCTTTCTGCTGAGGAATTCTCTAAGTGGTAGTGTGAACTTTGATAATTTCTTAGCCCTTTTTAGTAAGTCCAAGTGGCTCACAATTAAGTGAAATATTCTACAGTAAAAATACAAGTCTGCTTCTTGAGGTAAAATGTCATATTATACCATTTCTGCTGCAGCAGTTCATTGGTAGCTTCCAAGAGTTTGTGTATGCTTTCATTCTTAATGCAAATTCCTAACATTTGGCCTGTAGTCATATGGTAGTGAACTGTAATGCAAAGTTAAAAGTGAAGTCTTAAAATAGGAGAGGTTCACTATGCCATCAAAAGCATTTAGTCATCTGTGTTAAGTTCTGTGGGAAGCTGTTGCTCTTCTGAATCCACCAGACGTTCCACCTGGCAGCAGAAAAGAATCATTAAAATGTTGGAAGTCTGAGATTTTTCTGTTTTTTTTTCTTTTTTTTTCTTTTTTTTTTTTTAAATTGTGCCTGATAAATTAATATTTGCTAAGTATCAGTGGTACTTATCAGTGTATTTTGGAAGTTGCCCTGAGTAAGGCAGGAATTAACGCTACACTTGGACAAAACAGATTGCTGCCAAATTTTAGAAATGATGGTGAGCTGACTGTGGTTGCAAACGTGGCTGCAAATTTTTACTATATTGTTTCAAGGTACTGAAATGAGAATCTTGCTACCACATACAGATTTAGATATTAAACCTTATATAACAAATTATTCTAAAACTGTCTTGTAAACAGTGGATGGAAAATAAAATCATCAAGTTTTTTTGTTCTGTGTCAATTACCAGCCTGTCTTTGGAGAATCAGTGTCAACTATTGTCCATTCTTTTAGTCTTTGTAAAGAGTAACTTATTTTCCTTAATTCTAATTAAATGAGTATCTCTCCTCATGAATAAAGTGTACTCTTCAATGATAATTTTACTAATCATTAAGTTTGAATGCTAACTGTCTTTCAGCCTAGGTAAAGATGTTGACATATAATTTTATTCCCTTAAAATGAGTTTTTATAGATGTTCCTTCAGAGGTTTAACTGTAGCATTGGTTGCTCTAGTTCCAATATCAAGTATTAACAAGTAATTAATTTGGGCTTTTATATATATTTATTTCCACTTGATTAACAAATTTCCATCTGGTATCTAAATGCTTCTCAAAAAGAATCTTCTGTTTCATTGCTTCAGATGACATTTTTTGTGAGTGTTTTGTTTTAGGCCGGTTGGTCTGTTTCTGTTTGTTTGTTCCAAAACCAGATTGAAGAGAAGCTGTATCAGACTCTGTCTTCTCTCATGGTCCATGTGGTTTTAAGTTGCTGCTTTTTATTGAGATGTGATTAACTCTTATCCTAATATCTGACTGACTTAGTACAACATCTGCACAGTGACTTGATTGTCGTCATCCTCCCCCCTTTCCTGAATTCTACGTGGAAAGGTTGAACTTTCTAACACTTTACATTAAGACAATGTACAGTACTTAAAAACAGGATAAACACTTAGGGTTTGGGTACAAGGCTTTAGCACAAAACCATGACTGCTTTGTTGATTGCGTGCTATTTATATTAAAATCAATTTGTATGTTCTCTAAAAATTTGGAGAAGATTTGTGAAATATTTTAAAATCCCAGTCAAATGAAAGAAGGCACTGCTTCCCTACTCTCTCTGCTTCTATAGTAGAGTATCGAAGAGGAGAATGTATTAGTCTATCTTTTGGATATTGAAAGGAGGTGAAGAAAATGTAGTTAATAAATAGCTTAGAAGAGCTGTTTTTGTTGCATTTAACAAAACATAGCTTGGTGTTTTTTCATGGTGCACAATACAAACTACTGTCTTCTGTTTCTGTTTAAGCTTTTGATAAATGATCGCTGGTATTGTAACGTTTAAATCCTTCATTCTCAAAACATGTACATTTGAGTTTCTCTTTAAGTCCGTAGGAGAGCATTGGTTCGCTTCCATTTTTCGTTAAGCTTCCTGGTCAATATGGCATGATGAAAGGAACCGAATTGTGAAATGGTATAGTAAAATGCAAGGGCTTTTGATCAATGGATAGCAGATAGTTTAGACTGTTTAAATAGTTTTTTACACTTTTTCCTCATATTTAATGTTCAAAAAAACCCAAACCTCTTATTATATGGGAATTTTATTATTTGTGGTGCTGATCATCAGTCTCCTCTTACTGTCGTTTCCTTTGCAGGAGTTGGTGGAAAAGTGTTACAGTTTTCATTTGAGTAAAATTAGGAAACACAGCTAATTGGATTAGACTAGAGTGATAACTAATCTTCTGGGGTTGTGTCAGTTTAGTTCGTCTCCATTCTGAGTTGCTGAAGTGGTTACAGCTTTCTAGGTGAATAATAGCTTCAGGTTTTTTTATCTTGATTTATCAAAATAATTAATTCCTACTTTAATTTTCTTTGCAACAGAATCTTCTTCCACTAGCATTGTGTTTCTGTGCATGGTCTAACCTGAGTTCTTTAGATGAGTACTTAGAGGTTTTGATAGCAAGTTACCAACTGAATTCCTGACACGGCCGAAGGCAGTGCTTGGTGGAGTCACTGAAAATAGTCCTGGAGTAATAGGGTTCCCCTCGTTCATGGTGCATCACCTGGTCGATTTTTCTGGCATTGACTTTCATAGGGTATTTCCCACTTGCAGTTTTTTAATAATGTTGATACGGTGTCTGCAAAGGATTGTTTACAGAGACTATTCTCTAAAACGGAACTTATTCTACCTGCGACAGTCAGTACTTCAAGAAAAACAGCGTACAACTTTGCTCAAAAATAGAAATGCACAGAATAGTCTCCTGTTGTTGTCTATGCAGGGAGCAGAGATTAATTCAGATGATGAGCATCCCAGGGACAAATACCAACAACTGTTTAAAACAGGTGCTCTGGTGTTTAAAGTTATTCAAAATGTTTACTGAGCTTTGGTGTCGTCTTACATCGTTTAGTCACTGAGGTAAAAGTAGTTTTGTTAAATATTTCCCTATTTCTGTCAGGACTGCGAGATCAAAGCATGTTTAA